ATTATTGTAGTGTCCCCTGCATCCCCAGCCGCACCGTATTTCACAGCGATGCCTGATGATGATTACTATTAATGTAGTGTCCCCTGCATCCCCAGCCGCACCGTATTTCACAGCGATGCCTGATGATGATTACTATTATTGTAGTGTCCCCTGCATCCCCAGCCGCACCGTATTTCACAGCGATGCCTGATGATGATTACTATTATTGTAGTGTCCCCTGCATCCCCAGCCGCACCTTATTTCACAGCGACGCCTGATGATGATTACTATTATTGTAGTGTCCCCTGCATCCCCAGCCGCACCTTATTTCACAGCGATGCCTGATGATGATTACTATTATTGTAGTGTCCCCTGCATCCCCCAGACCGGCACCGTATTTCACAGCGATGCCTGATGATGATTACTATTATTGTAGTGTCCCCTGCATCCCCAGCCGCACCTTATTTCACAGCGACGCCTGATGATGATTACTATTATTGTAGTGTCCCCTGCATCCCCAGCCGCACCTTATTTCACAGCGATGCCTGATGATGATTACCCTTTGCTTTGGTGGCACGCCGCGGCGTGTCACGTCACACAAGCAGGTCTGTTCATGGCTACTTTTTGTGGCTTGCTGTAGCGTTCCCGAAGTGGAAGCTTGACTTTGATGGACAATTCATGTATAGGTTATGTAAGAAAGCTAGGACGACGCCAATGATTATGACCATCCTCCCCGTGCGAATCGCCCTTGCAGACAAATTCAGGGGACCCACTTGAACACAAAATTAGGGCATTGACTCATTTGACTTTGACAACTGTCTCGTGTTTTTGCAGGTTACACTCACCGCACTGTCCTGTACGATGGCCTGCAGGATGCCAAGGCGGCTTGGGTCGACGGGTCACGGCAGGCCTGGAAAATTCCCTCGGAACCCGCGCCTAAGCCAAACATCCTGGGGAGGGTCTGATTCCTTATGTTCCGAAGCACATGTTGTTCTGAACAACGAAACGACGTGATGTTGGGATGCAGGTATGTCCCGGGCATCTCTACACCCCGCCGGGCCCCTTACGAGTCTCTTCAGCCGCAGGCCGAGCACGGAGGCTCGCTGAACTTCAGCGCCTACCGGCAGGGCCGAGATCGGCAGGCGAGAGAACGCAACAGTCGCCAAGTGGGTTGGTGTCAAATGAGAACGGAACCGTAAAGATGATGGCTTGCCGTGCTTTCCGTAGAAATCCTGTAAACAGACTCAAACGGTGTGTGAGTACGTGTGTGGGTGTTGTTTTTTGAAGGTATCCTTCTCACCTTGATCCATTGGTTTAATGGCAAGCAAAAGGAGACCCACCACTTCTCGGGCGACACATTACATACCCAAAATGGGATTCTGTCAAAGCCTCCAGATGTCTACCGTCAAATAGGCAGGGACCAGGGGGAACAATTCGCACAAAACCAGCAGGACTCGCGGATTGCCCCATTTCCATTCAGGGCAAAAGCAATTCTGACTGGCTCACATATGAAGAGTAGGGGACAGTCCCCTTGCCGAAGGGCGGTGAGAAGCCTTTGCGTTGTTGTTGTGTTGGGTGGATTCCTGAACCGTGGATTTGATTATGCGCCATGCTCGCATAAGGTGCTGCCTGCCGCTTTTCCTTTTCTGAATGGTCTTGCAGCCGTTGCTTCTTTGTGCTCTTCGAGGTTGAAGGTTTGTGAGTGTGAGCGCTCCAGTACTTGGGCGTGAACGGCAAGAACTACTATGCCAAGCCCTGGGGCAACGACTCCTCCAACATCCAGGACCGGCTTGCCTGCGTTGCGAGCGCGGAGAAACCCGGCCCGAAACGCAGGCGGTCATTAACGGGCCAGCCTACTGGAAGCCCGCGCCTGAGACTCTTGAACTCTAAAAGGCCTGAAAAAGGTGACCAGAGTGCGAGGCGTGTGATTTGTGGTTTGTGCGTCAAACATATCCGTCCCACTGGCACGGCCTTGAGAGGCAATATGTTGGACCTATGGAGGCAAAATCAGTAAAGGGGAATAGAAGTACAGTAGGCCATAGTAGGCCGCTAAATTGGTGAAGCAGTGCAGCGGTAGTGCTGTGAAGTACAAGAGACGGAGCAAAGCTGGCAAGCGTGCATGCCAACAAAAGACGAATTGGCGTGAGCAGAGATGAAAGTTGTGGTGCAGCTTGCTCATGGCGATTCGAGTATCCTAAAACATGGATGACGTTTTCGCTTGCGGTTGAGGCGGGTGTACTATCGAGAGAACATTGCTGCACGCTTCGCTCGCGAAGACGCAGAGGCTGGACCCCGAGGCGAAGGAAGCATCCGGCTATGAGCCGGACTTTTCAAATGCTTTGGTTTCTCGCCCCGAAAAAGGGTACAAGCAAAGACAGTTAAAGAGAACCTGCACAGACTTGCCTGGCATGTAATCTTCCCAGCACGCCGAGTAAGCAAGATAAATGTGCGTCTGTGTGTGCGCGCGTGCGCGGGGTAGTTTTCCTTTGAAGCCTCTTTTTACCACCTCACAAACAATGCTCGCAACTGCATGGATGGGAGGCAGCTCAGAGAAAAGCACAAGCCGAAGCAGCAGAGGCAGTGGCGCAGTGTGTCATGGGTTGCTAAAAGTATGGACCCTTTTTGGAACCCTGGTGACATCTCGTGCCACCTGGGTTCCAAAAAATTGGACCACACTTTTGACAGCTTGACCAATGGCAATGTTGTTATTTTTGTGATTTTTCAGTTCAAGGAGGGTCCCCCTACAAAATGTCCGCTATAAAGGGAAACTCTTGATTCATAGCTGAGATTGCAAATCAGAGGGTTGAGTATACCAAGGCTATGGCAACTGGCACTCAATCATCGATGCGGTGGAGCGCTCGGCTTTTCCCCGCCTTCTTTGCCATCAAAGTTGTTTGTGGTCCAACACTGTTCACCTGAGAAGGCCGACCATTTCGGGGTCCCCTACCCCAGGAAGCACTCAGACACACCAGTAGAATCCATTTCGGCGAAAGCAAATCTAAGTTTGCTGAACGTTTCTTAGTGCACAGGAAGTAATGACTGTCAAGTCGCGTGATCTTTTCTTTGGGTCTTTCTGCTTTCGGCAACATCCGCTCCTGTTTCGGCAAAATCTTGCAGAATAAGATTGCGGATTCTTATTGAACGCTCAATACCCACGGTTGCCGGTGAATAGATCATGGCCCAAGATGTTGTTTCATACCTGGCAGCACGAATGCAATGCAAATGACAGAGTAGCTTATGGAGTTGAGGAATAAATTACCTTGGGCACCAGCCGCAAGACAGAAATATCATGGCGATCCCCAGCGCACAGCAAGCAAACCCTGATTCCAGTATGCTGAATTTGCCCTTGAGGCTCGGTCAAACTTATTTGGGGAAACTTTGGGAGGGACATCGAGAACTCACTCATTTTCTCACAACACCAAGGGGCACACCGACTTTCCCATGTTCAACAGGTTTGGCCGCATTGACCGTGGCTTTGTCTATGCTCAGGAAGTCTCAGTCTGACACGGCTGTGCAACAGGCCAACCCAGAGATGGTGCCTTGATTGCAGAGTCTGCGGTAGCTCTTCATTTGCAAGATTTGTCAGCCTTACTTTGTTCAGTGCACTGGAGACTTGAAATGTCTGTTGTTATTGAATCTGTTGCGCAGGTAAAGGATGCATATGCGCATATCAAGGACTGAATGTCCGACCTGTTAGCATTTGGCCCAGAATGTGTTTCCTTGACGTGCCAGGAGAACATGAAGCCATTTGTACAGAAACAAGGCGCGCTTTTTGCTTCAATCGTTTGCACGCCATCCCAACATAGATCATGCAAGCAGGTTCACTGAGACCGGTGCGCAAACTAATTGCCACGAGCTTGCGCTTTAGACATTGGCTTGTGGAATTCCAGTTTCCATTTTGGTGTTCTGTACATTGCTCCTAGTCACTGACTAGGCAAAGTGCCAAGATGTGGTTGCTCGTGCATGAAGCGACCCTAGTCACTGGCTAGGGAAAGTGGCGGTGTGTTTGACGGGCTGAAGAGAATAGCTATTCTGTGCTGGACCGGAGGATGTTTTGGGTGCCAAGATGGGTAGTGCGTTTATGAGAGTTCGATCCAATTTCCGGCTTACGAGCTACATCTTTGGCGTCGAGCATTCGAAACCTCTGGGACTTGCCGGAAGCTTTTTGTGTGTCGAGTTTTTTCGAAGAGGCCCTCGGTTTGGCGCTAAAGCTGCAGGCAAGCCGAGGATCCGTGCCCTAGGAGCCCGGCCCCAAGAGGTGCAGCAGCTCTTGGCTTTTGCCTTGAGCCATGTCTGTCCCACCGTCCCCCCTTTTTTAAGCCGAAGGAAGTTGGGAGAATCAGTTTTTGTGGGCGCAAAACTCATTTTCCAGCCTGGCTTTGTTTTATATAGCAGCTATATAAAGCAATAATATAGCTCTAGGCTCCTGGATCAAGGACAGCCCCCGAGTCAATCGCTGTCTTCGGCCTTTGGAACCTTTTGGATTGAGCAAATGCGACAGGTGACATTTTGTGGCTCCCAAGCAAAAGCCCTCCATTTGGGTGTCCTTTGCTCTCTTTTGAATTGTAGCGCTTAGGGCATCGTAATATAAAGGGTATGTATTTGGGGAACGGAATGCTGTTGCGATTCTGCGAGTTCCGCCATGTTTGAGACATTCCATGGCACCCTCCAAATCGGCCCGCCCAGCCTGGAGAGCGCTTGACTTTCTTCAACACGCTGCAGAACAAGTATCACATGAAGGCGTTGAGCCGCCCGCTTCGTCGCCCAGTCGCAGCTCGCCATCGAACAGGCTGGAGGAAAGAACCTGTCTTGGGATGTGTCCAAGCAGGCGCACCTCGTGCTCTGTTTCACGTCCATAGAACGGCATTCCGCGCTGAGACACACCGAAGCACAAAGAGCGAAATGAACTGGATCCTGTCCAACTACTTCCGCACGGACTCGCAGGCAGGTAAGTTGTCCCTGGGGTGTATGGGCTTTGTTTTGTGACGGCCGGTGTTCGTTTGGAAACGCGGCAAAGACGACAAAGACGAAGTGCCAACTCTCTTGGCAAGCGAACAAATCCTGGAGGCCATCCTTAACGGGGCAGGCGCTGATTGATCTCATGTATCAAAGACTCCTGGCGTGGCAGCAACACCCGGAAAGACGGGAGTTGCCCGCAGACCAGATGTCGTTTCACTGAGAGCTACATCCCGAAGGGAAAAGCTGGACGCGCTTTGGGTGGAAACGGGTGGAAACGGGTGCGGCACGCTTGCTGCAACATCGAACAGCAGGTTGAATCTCGCAACACACGTCCCGGCAGGCTTGCAAATCAAGCCATGCACTCCGGCTTGCATGCACGTTATCCATTCGGCAATGTCTGGTGTTCAAAAGAAGTCCCAGCCAATCCCGTCGGGCCTTAAATCAGAGGCTACAAGCAGTTGGTAAGCTGCGATAGCGGGATCGCTTCTGCCACAAATGTTACATTTCTCAGCTTGTGGCTGGGGTGCAAATGCAGAATTACAAAAGTGTCTGTTGAGCCAACAGGCGAATGCTGCACACTGGGTCGCTCAGTGACTACAAAAGCGGCACATTTGTCTGCGTGCAGCACATCTTCAAAAGGCGGCACCACATCATGCGCACGTTCCTTGGTTTGGTTCTGCCTGTAGCTGGAGGTAGCCGGCATGGGCAAAAACAAGCATCGCCGTATCTGGCCAAGTTGAGCAGCTATGTGTGGCTCGCGCGCTTGAACATATGAGGGAACCAGGCTTTGTCTCAAGTGGGCTGCTACAGCTGAGCATCGCAATATCCAGACTGTGAAATCCATTCCGTATGGGTCCGTATCGCCAATGCTTCGGCAGCCCCTTGTCTGGGCAGCTGTTCTGGCGGCACTGACCGTGGCAGAACGGGTTCGTCCAGGCAGGGCATCGTATTTTTTTTGACTTGAGGTGGCCCGTGGAGCCCATGTGAGGATTCGACATTTGCAACATGGACCACTCCTTTCGAGGGACGAAAGAAGTGCGTGGCCTTGCCATGAGCTATGCCACGGTGTTTGCTGCATTTGGCAGGCTCGCCGTCGCTTGCCTTTCCATCACGTTGCTCATTAGCCACATTGAAAGGATCCTTCCAGCTGCGGGCAGTAGTGCGAAAGCCTTTCGCAAGTGGGTGCTTCATCGGATTGCGGTACCAACCATGACACAATCCCCACAAGGATTTGCAAGGGCAGCAACCTTTCCCTTGATTTATCTAATTCAATGAAACCGCCAAGTGGGCTGCCACTGCCAGCTTGCTCGAGCCCTTGATTGTCCGCGGGAATCTCACGGTGCCGGGCAACGCCACCTTCCATGGCAATGGCTGGTCCGCATTTTTGCAGGAGGCGGGCCAAGAGATGTTGACACGGATCCAAGCAAGAGATATATTGATGTTATCCAATCCATCCTTTGTGACCTGACAAAGGCAACCAGATTCGTTCCAGGGTTTGTGAACGTGTATATAAGAGTTTTCGGAGGTTTGCAGTCGTGGCACGGAGCTCACAGTCGGCGTTTCCTTTGTCGCATGAAGAAAGTTCATGCCACCGATCCCCTTTTCGTGCACAGCGCGGGTTCTCGCAGCCGTCTCTCCGCAGCTCGGCGGCGGATTTCGCAGGCTTGCCTCCAAGTCACAGACGGCCTGACAGTCTCTGTTGGCCAAGTTTCCGGCCCAGGTGCGCTTTGATAACGCCCAGCAGTAGGTGGACGTTGGTGAAGCATGTCTCCGTGCCACTGCAGGTGAGTGCGCTCAGCGGAAACGTGGTGAAAGCAACGGTGAAGCTCACAGCTCAGCGCAAGAATCGCTCATTGCAGTTTCGGGTGTAGAGGCTGACAGACGTCAATTTATTGACGCAGCTGTGCACTCTAAGGTTGACGTTTACCCTTCAATCTCTGCCAACATGCTTCCGACGCCCGCCAAGTCATCAGCTCAGGAGTGAAGGGTTTTGTGTCTAGTGCTGTCAGTGAGGGGCAGAGAGGTGATTTAGGGGCGGAACACAAGTACCAGGCTGTACTTCAGCGAGTAGGCAAGCCACATGGCAAGCCACATGGCGAGCCACATGGCAGTGTCAGCCTAATTTTGGGGGTCCATGTTGAAGGGATCGCCGAAGCCCGCAATCTGATCTCAGGTCCCACTACACCTTCAATTTGAGAGATCTGGCGAAGGCCGGCCTTCTTTTGGCAGATCTGTGATTGTGTGCAAATAGCGACACTGCGGGCTGGACTGGTCCCTGATTTACTAATGATGGATTTTTTCTACAGAGCTGAAGTAAACCCCGAGAGTTCTGGTATGCGACTCGTTTGAGGTCAACCAGGATCTGCCTCTGCAGCAAGGAGTCACTTCCTTCCGAATGCCAGCGAGTCTTTCAGGCAGCTCGGAAGAGCTTCGGAGAGTTGGCAAGAGCATTTGTACCACGATTAATATTGCGAGGATATTGTGTGAGCCATGTCTGTCACGTGCTGCAGATTGGACTCCTCATGCTTTTCTTGTTGAGCAGCCCATGAAAGCATGGCACAACCCTGGTTTGCTGACGGAATTCCTCGAACTGATCAGTGAGCCATAGATTCACGTGCCATACTCTGCTTGTTCCAATCTCGTCATAATCACACCTAGCGCTCTTCAGCTCAGTGTACATTCAATGTACAGTTGTGCAAGGCCGGATCGTAAGCAGAGCTTGTGGAAGTGGCAGCCTGACGGCGTGAGCTGCACCTCGCTTGAAGTTAAAACCGCGTCAAAACCCGACCAGGACCGACTCATCCATGACAATGTGACGAGCTCAAGCTTACTTTTGGCGTTTGCCCTGCAAGTGAAATGTTCCATTTGTTGACCAACCTGCGCACCCTCATTTCTTTTGCCTTGATCCGTTTCTTTGTTCAAGGCATGGTTCAATGAGCTGCTGAGAGAGAAGCTGCAGGAGTCTCCCCAAACTTGAACCAAGCTGTCGAATACCCAATTTGGTAGAGAGGCACGGGCACCCTCTCAACATTGGCACTGAAGTACCTTCAGGAGCATTTCAAAAAGCAGTGGAACGCTGTTATCAAGCAGGCCGGCCGGCTGACGCCAGCATACGTCGTTAGGAGATGCGGGTAGCTGCTGCAAGCAGATGTTGTCAGGAGCCGCTCATTTTAATTGCAGACAGCCGAGATCTCAGCTTGGCCGAGCGACCGGCAAGCGCCACAATGACAAGTTCAAGGCAAACATTGACACCAGCTGGGTGTTTGGCAGGCAAGGCTCCGTGCTACCAACAGGTCGTCGATTATGAGCAGCTCAATGACGTGCTGTCGCTCCTGCGCGTCTTGATGCTGAAGACGTGTCGGATTAGTTGCTGGTTTTGTGACTATAGAGACTGCTTCAAGCGTGTGCCAAGAACTGCTTGATTTATTCCAATTCCATGGCCAAGCGCATGGAGCTGGTCCTGTTTATGTTGCGGAACAGTTCGGTTGGATACAGCTTAACTCTGGACACTGCCTGGATGCTACCTGTTGCGGCTGCTCAGCACATGTGTCGGATTGCCCTGTTCCCAGCTTCGGGCCCGACGCCACAAGAGGAAGAACGGAGAAATTGGAGCAACACAATGACTGCCATCACGACTCCTCTCTCAAGACTCCTCCCTACGAAGTATTCAGTCAGAATCAAAGGTAGGGCTGTTGCAAACTCTCGAGATCTCTGTAGGAGATGGGAAGCAGCCCAAAGCGCTTCGGTCTATGGCAGGTAGCGGATGCAAGAGCTTGACCTTTGTGGCCGAGTGCGCGGGATAGCCAAAAAGCCCAGTGTGCCTAATGAGGGTCGTTCGAGGATCCCAGTCGCAGATATTGTAGCAGGGGCTGCAAACCACCAGATGCTACCTTACGCGCAGCACCTCTGTCAAGCCACAAGCCGGCATTTCAACAGCATGCAGCATGAGGTGTGGTGCTCATGTCCTGGACAACTAGGGTGGGCTTCTGTTGAGCTGTGCAACTTTACTCAAGCGCGAGTTGCTAGAGCGGATAATTTCTTCGGACTCCTTAGCTCTTCGGCTGTATGTTTGACGTCTACTTGTCATGAATTCCGTTGGAGTTGACCCTGAAGCCTTACTTGGCCTGTAAAGCAAACCTATAAGCGGAGGCTTCAAGGTTTATAGGGCACCGACTGGTTACGGCAATCATCACACTAAGCAGCAACCGCGAGGGGTTTAGATCTGGAAAGTTGAGGTTTAAGCTGGGTTAAAGGCTTACGGTAAGGGGCAGTTGCGCCATACAATGCAGCATCATGCGCGCAAACGACAACAAGATGCCGACACCCATCCCAGTAGATCAGTCACTTCTCGGGTCGATGCCTTGACAATGGCAATGTATGTGCTGGTGTGGATGGTCAGCTTGGCGCGGGCCACAGCGTTTGAACCACCTTTCGCACCATGCGAGGCTGGCCCATCAGGGATAAGTCAGGCTTGTTTGGTGCGTCAAGGGTGGCCTGTGGATATGGAGAGCGTAAGGCGGGAGCTGCTCCTCCTTGATCAAGAGGTTGCTGGTCTCAAGTCGAAAAGCGCGGGCTTCTTGCTGAATTCTGAGAATGAGAAGCTTGCGGAGCCATTGCCTTTCGCATCCAGGTGCTTCCGTGCCCATGGGAAGCCTGCCAGCGCACGGCAGCAGTTTTCGTTGCTCGTCTTGGCAACCTTGGTGCTGCTGGCAACGTTGCGGACCTGGAAAAGATTATTCCGCGAGCAACGCGCGCATCAACGTCAAACAACTGCAGTCCAACAGCTCGGCCGCAAGAAGTTGAAGAGACTGCGGTCTAAGTTTTGTTCTCAGTGTTCGGCTGCGGGCATCCATCCAGGGGCCAAAATATTTCACCACTTGCATTCCGGCTTGCAGCTGGCCGGCGCTAACAACTGGACGGCAGCGCGCGGGCGCTTTGCTTCACTGGCCAAGCTGTTGAAGCCATTTCTCGGTGCCGATCCAGCCAGGCCTCTAGTTTGCTGGAGTGGGCGCGTGGCCATGAACTACGCTCAGACTCTCCGGGGCACAACGCTGGAACAAACTAGACTCGGTCGCGCTTTAGACGCTTTTCGGCCACTTCTCGACGAATATCGCTGGAAGGAACAGGTTCTCTTCTGGGAGGCGATCAGCGCCGAGTTTGCCTTGAACGCATCGCGGCAGCAAGCGGCGGGTTCCAGAGATGCTGTGGTTTGCGTGGGCAAGGCAAGCGCGGACACGATTTTCAGCCGTTGCGAGATGCCTGTGCTGCGCTCAGCGCGTGCAAAGCTGACCTTCATCGCAACCCCAGAGGATCGCGCAGTCCGGTCGTTGGACGTAGCGCAGAGAGCTTTGCGGCAGTACGATGCAGCGACTGATCCCTGAACGACGCCATCGTTATGAAACGTATTCTTCCGTCTTGTTCGAGCTCGGGGCCGTGGCAGTGGCAACATCGCATCGCCCGGGTCCGTATCACCAATGCTTCGGCGGCCCCTTGCCTGGGCAGCTGTTCTGGCGGCGCTGACGGCGGCAGAACGGGCTCATGAGGCGACAGGGTAGGGCGATCGTTCTCATTGGGTCTGAGGGTTGTTGTGCCGCGCAACGCAGCCCGCAGACTGCGGCATGGTGGTTTCACTGTCGGCTGACGCGTCGACATAACGCATCCTATTCTTTTGGTTTTTCTGTGATGTTCTGTAAAGACATACGAGAGTGCAACTGTGTGGACAACAGCAGGAGATGCATCCAGTCTTCGGTGGCAGCTTGATGGTTTCATTTTTTCGACACGTTCTTCTGTGGCTACGGTGTTTGTCCGACAGTTGCGCGGCGAGGTTCCTCCCCGGGAGCTCCGCGGGGCCCGACAGTTGCGACGAGCTGAAGACGGGCTCGTGTGAAGTGCCCAAAGAAGGCCTCCGTCTTCAGCAGTCCTGCACCATTGGCGCTGGGACGAACCCCCAGGCAGGGCATCGTATTTTTGATTTTGCGACTTGAGGAGGATTGGACATTTGTGGTTGCAACATGGGCCGAAAGAAGCGCGCTGCTTCGCCGTGAGCTGTGCCACAGTGTGCTGCCTTAATTCCGGCCATTCCATCATGTTGCTCAGTAGCCAAGAGAGGATCCTTCCAGCTCCAGGCAGTTGTACATTCAATGAAGCCGCCAAGTGGCCTGCCACTGCCAGGTCAAGTTGCACGGGCCGTTGACCGTCCACGGGAATCTCACGGCGCAGGGCAACGTCACCTTCCGGAGCTCCCACTCGTTGGGTGGATCCAGACATTTCAAGGAGGCGGGGCCAAGAGATGTTGACACGGATCCAAGCTTTCCGACGTCGTCTTGCCGTCTTATGGATTCCACCAAGAGATGTTCATGTTGATGTTATCTAATCCGTCCTTCGTGATTTGCAGGCAACAGATCGGTTCCGGGTTTTGCGGGTGTAGCTCGCAGTCGGCGTTTCCTTCGCCGGAAGAAAGTTGATGCCACGGATCCCCGAGTGGCACATAGGCTGGCGGTAGCTGTTTGTTTTTTCGGCTTGTGACCTCAGATGAATCATGTCGGAACATGTATGAAGGCGTCATGTGGTTCAGCTCGCTTCTTGCCCCTCTGTTTGGCGGACATCGTTGTGCTTCCGATGTTTGAGTTTCCCTGCTTCAAGAGTTTCTGTTGTCCTGATGCTGCAGACGAGAGCATCAGCCACAAGAGAACGGTTCGTTTCGTTTCCGCTTCCTCTCCGTTTCTTCAACCAGCTCAACGAAGTTTGACTCTGAGCTTCATTCTATGCAGCTGAAAGAAGCAATTCTCGGCCCCAGCATGTTGGCAAAGCCAATTTTCGTGCATATGTCTTTGGTTGGTTGCTCTGTTGGATGGGTCTTAATGTGAGTCGACTGGATGAAACAGTGCTCAGCTTGCAAGCTTGCAGGACGGCTTTAGGCTTCAATGCCTTTGGGATGGTGGCAAAGCGCAACTGGCATATGCGTTGGCATCCCCCATGGCGCCCCTGGTCATGCTTCCGGCATGCGGTTTGCTGCAGGTCTTCAAGCCCTCCGCCGGTACCCTGGCAGAAGGGAAGCTGTGCAAAGTGAGGGGATTTATGCAGAAAGGTTCCTCATTGTTGCGCTGACGCGTTTCCACTCCGAGCGCGGCAGATTTGGATGGAAGCAACTCCCTAACATCTAATTGATTGTGTGTCTCTAGGGCACAAGAGACTTGTGTTCTAAAGGCGCAAGCTCACATGTTATTCACACCAACATCACCAACATTGAGTTCTTAAAACCATTTTAGCCAATATCGCTTGTCGCTGTTTCAGGATGTTTCATCCAACCAATCAATGTCTCATCCAACCAATCATCATATGATGCTGTGCAACTTCTTGTCAGACGAGAGCTAATCTCATTTAGAACTAACATCTTCAATATTCTCAGGAAGAGTATCTTGCTTCTCTTCTTGAATCTTGCACTCATATCTCGCATCTTATCGTCTTTTGCAAAAGTATGAGCCTCCGGCTCGACATTCTCCGGGCGTCTCATCTTCATCTTACAAGCAGCAAACAGCATGATCTTGTTCAGAGACTTCAAGATAGATATGAAGTTCATATCTTGAGCTCTTTCATCTTACGACACGCTTAGGTTGAGACCTTGGGCCTCACTTATGTTCAATTATAGAGAACTAAGCAAGCAGCAAATCTGATCGAGCATTCTAGAATGCTGAGCACTTCTAGAGTTGCAAGCTGTGAGTTGGGCCTTCAGCCTCAGATATTTAGAGGCGTAGCCTCTAATCTACGTAGCCTCTAATCTACTGGCTTACTTCTGAACAAGCATGCTGCAAATTATCACCAGTTATCCGTGGTGCGAAAGGAAGAAATAATTGTGTACGTTTTAGGAAAACAGTATAATTGAAAGAAAAGTAACAATAAAGTAATTAAGGAATATTAAACTACCGCGCGCGTGCAAGGCTGACAAGCTGAGGTCGAAAAGGCTGCTGGGCAGTCATTTTTGACTGGGAGGAGGGCGCGGTGAAAAAAACGGCAAGGCTATGTATGTAGTTTAGGACTGTATTTGGATGCAGGTGAAATAGAATCTTGTCATAGACAAACTCAGCGTGCATTTCATTGTGGCGATACTTTTCCTTAAGGCATGCAGGCATGCATGCCTGCATTGTTACTGTTTTTGGGGGCATGTACTTTTATCAAGCATGTATTGATCTTTGCCACGGCCAATGCGCCGTTTGGCTCAAGCTTTTCGTTCCGGCAATTCCGCTTGCAATCACGTCGGCGCCTCAACGCGGCGACCTGGAGCTCTGCAGCAAAAGGCGCTGCGGCCCTCCTTTGGTCGGTGTTGGTGTTGCTGGTGGTTGGTCAGGACTTGGGGTTGGGAACGGTGCGCATTGGTTTTGCTTCTGCAAGATTGCTCGCTTTGCTTGCTTGGTGCTGCTTGCTGCTGGTTTGCTTGCCTGCTCTGCGCTGTGCTGCGCTTCTGCTGGTTTCTTCTTGTTACAACGAGGCACCCCTTTTGGTTCGTGTTAGTGCCGGCCGAGGGCAACCGCTTTGCCCTTGGGACCGGGGGGATAAGGTGGTCTCTTCTTGTTGGTGGGTTAGGGCCTGTTTTATCCATCCCGAAACTCTGTTTCAAACCCTTTCGCAGGTTATCAGCCAACAACCCTGCAGGCGCCGTTTTCCATAGGCTACTGTAGGTCTCATGGCGGGAATCACTGAGGATGGACCTCACGTGGTGACCGATGAGTGGGTTCTCGGCCAGGCCGGAATCTTGGACGTTGTGAATGACGACCAGGTGCCCGGACAGCCGATGTTTTCCGGTCCTGACTTCTTGTCGGACCACACTTTTTCCGAAGCAATGCCTTCAGAGAGGTCCAGTGCTACTCGCACTGATGACCTATCGTCTAGTGCCTCAAGAGCTAATCGCTCTCAGGGTCATGGGACTAATCGTCCTGACCATGATGATTCCGTCTCAGGACGTGATGATGACGAGCCCGGTATTGTACCTGGAGCTCAATCCTCATCTTTCCCGGAGCTGATGAATATTGGTCAGTCCGAGGTTCATGACTCTCGAAGCAGCAGTAGACCTGTGCCAACCAGTAGTATAGCTTTCCAAGCACTCGGTAATCCCGAGCCAAGTGCACGTAGTGGAGTTGCATTTGATGTTCATCTGCCAACCGAATTCGGTGGGCTAGATTGGAGGGCCTCGTGGCCCAACGATGATAACGTCTTAGGCATGGATTTCGCCGCATGGATGCCTGGGCCACCCGCCCCGTCATCTTTCCCACAATTCCAGAGCCCGAAGCGGGCTGCTGGAAGCGATGAATTCATGCTGCCTCTATCCATTGAGAACCTCAATCCTGATGTAGCCAGCCGTAATGTCAGGCCAAGACCGTCGGTAAACCCGACCATAAGGAATATGTCCCCTCCCCCAGGACTTTCGGGATTTGAGAGTCCTAGGGAGCGAAACATTGTAGATAGATTGGATTTGCATCCCAGTCCTACCCCGAGCAAACGATCTAGGTCAAATTCGGCCGGATCGCACAGGGCAAGAGGGATGGATCAAGAGACCGCTCACAGGGGAAACCCCGGCACACGGAACTCAAGACATGGTCACTCAGGTGATCCAGCGTCGATTATCGGTAGGGATCCGCTAAACGCGGACACATTGATTAATGTGCTTGACGGGATCGAGGCATTCCAGGAGGAGTTCAATAGGTCGAGTGGCTCGAATGTGCAGCCAGTTCGCCCTACGCCCGATGCGGCTTCCTTTTTCATCTTGGACAACATGGACGGAGCTGATGTTCCGATAGAGTCTGAGTCCATGGTGGCATCAAGTTCTAGTCACAACCACACCATCAGTAATACTACTGATGTTGAGTCGATGTCTGAGTCTAGGGTGTCCAATGCGACAGATTTGAATGATGTTGTCATTGCTGATGTAAAACCTGATGTTCCTATGCGAACTAATAGGCCAGTCGTTCCCAAATTGTCCGTGGCCAAAGGCCTAGGCATGCCACAGCCATCAGCGGTTCGTGATGCTAGGAGGTCTGCGCCATACCAGAGTCAATCTCCTAATCGGAGTGAGTTCCCACGGCCACCTACGACCGTACAGGATGATTTCAGAACACCTCCGAGGTCTAATCCTATCATGGTTGATTTGTCCACTCCTCGGAACCATGGATCAAGGCAAAGCCCTATGAGTGAAGAACAACCCCATGAGGTTGCTGATCTTGTTGCCGCCCTTGAAAGAGGGAGAGTGGACTCCTCAGTGAGTGCAATTATTCATCGTCTGGTTGCTAAGGCCGAAGACCTTGGGCGTAGGAACGATAGAAGTGATCAATGCATCAAACAACTCGCCACTGAGGTCAACTCGTGGAGGGCCAAGTATGACCAATGCGTCCATGTGAGCAGTACATGTACACAGGCTGCAAACGTATCCATGCAGCTATCACAAGGGACTAAAGACATCGTAACCGAGCTTGGCCAACGCGTCAAGATCGTTTCCGACCGTGTGGGGAACTTAGGCGATGCCCTAAATGAGCGAGCCAGCTATGACGATGTCGCTCGCTCAATCATCCAAGTTCAAACTGTTTTTGAGTCTCTTTCCGATCGAGTAACCGAGCTTATAGCTCGTGTTGACGCGATCGAGAGATCCCTAGTAGAGAGTCAATCCAACCATCCTGCAATTGGTGGTGTAAACCTCAAAATCGAGGACTTATCCACCAGGATATCTCACATTGACAGGATGACGCAAGGTGCCGAACAATGTTGGATTACCAACAGGGAAGGCATAAAATGGGTTAAAGACCAACTCTGCGAAACGCAGACCGATCTAGAGGTCAAATCAAGGGAGTGCAGATCCTACACGGACAAGCAGAACACTCATAACATGGCTCAACAGCAAGCTCCAACAAATGCTTGACGTGCTGAACAGCACGGCCCAGAGAATTAATACCCTCGAGTCAAAGCACTCGAGCCAAGCATCGAGTAGTGGTTTGAACGATCGCACAGGAGGAAGGCGTGCCACTTCCCGTACTCCGGATAAGCGGCCACCTCCGCCTGGTCCTCCTGATGATGATCCTCCACCACCACCTTATTGTGACCGGCAAAGCCCGGGAGGAGGGGGGAAGAAGAGCGCTGCCGGTGGAAATCCTGGCGACACTGGTAAACCCAGATGTAAATATATGGATGATGGACGTATTCACCTCATTGCTGAGTTTCATTGTAAAGGATGCAGAGGTGAGGTTTGTGAGTATTGTTTTTCATTCAAGGAGGACTTGTGTGAAGAATGTTCCCGCGACGGACCCCGATGCGGTGTCTGTAGAGAGAGTTCATTCTTAACCAAGGGAATCAACTGTCAGTTTTGTAAAACCTACTACTGCACCAGGCATTCAGCTGGGCAGGATGACTACAGGAGGCTTGGGTTTGTCCAGGGTCCCTGTTGTCTCGCGTGAATAAGGGACAAAAGTAGGAGAAGAAGGGATCCCGATGCTAATGGTGTTAGGAATAGGTTTTCTGGAGGCGCGCCCGAGACGAACCCAACGCGGTCGTACTCACCGCCTCTACGGCAACCTGTTGGCCTTGACCCGCCAACCATGCGTGGTCCTGATCCTCCCGACAAGAATTGCCGGATGTGCAATCGGGAGATTCCCGACCCAAGTAAGATTGGGGATTGTAAGATATGCGTGAAAAGGGCATGTGACATTTGCATTCCAAAGGCCACTCGCCTATGTCCTGTGTGTGCAGTGTCGATCGGTAATTCGCAGGTCCCACAGCATCTTTTTGGAACTGGTGGCGGCGGATAGAGTAGTCACCATGATCCGAACTGTACAGCTGCGACTAAGTGCATTCCCATAGACCTTCCGCCAGAGCCCGACGCGGCCGGACTGAGGGTTTGGATAGCCAATATCAAAGAATTAGCAATGCCTACAGCTATGATGGACTTTACGTCATCAATTGGCTAACTGAAGTTGAGAAGGCAAAGACCTTTGATGAATTGGATGGGGAGTGTAGATATCACGTCCTTGAAGCCAGGTTCAACGCAGCCATTCGACA